TTTTACGCATCCACTTTGAAAGAATATGTTAATTAAACGCGATCAAAGAGCGGGACTAATTGAATCGTACGCGGCGCAAAAAGTTTCGAGACGGAAATTAGCATAAATTAGAAGAAGGGCTGTTAAATCTTTCTCATCATCCTTAAAAAAAGCTCGATCGACCGATTCGGAATTTAGAATGTGAAACGCGAATCGTCAAATTTTTTATCGTCTCCACGGGAGAAAAGATTTTATTGTTATTGAACCTCTCTCCTGTTCTTTCCTTCCAATATTTACTTTACGACCCGTTTCAGTTTATTTAATTTCGAGAAAATGTTTTCGCGAAAAATGATAATCTCTGCTCCGCGGAGATGGAAAGCTGCATTTAGGAAATTAAACTCTTCTATTAATGTAATAATTTCTCTCTTCCCTTCTCTTCCGTTCTCTGCGTATCTCTCGATCGGATATATATACATCGAATATTTATCGTGCAAGGGAGAATTGTTTTATGTTTGTGCATATGAAATATTGTTCCTTTTAAATGAATCCTGTTAAATTTTCGTCTCATATTTATACGAATCAGACGAATGAGAAGACGAGTGAATAGATTTTTTAACGAGAGATTTTTAAAATTTAGTCGTGCGACTTTGTAGCACTAATTCAGACGACAAAGTCTTTTTAATTTCTTGGTAATTTTCGCTTAATAAAATTCTAATGCAATACGTTTGAAAATTTGTTAAAATAACGATAACAAATTCTTAATTGATATGATGCAATATTTTCCAGATACGATAAGTGTGCATTATAACAATTCTAAATAATTTTTTATGTGTGAATTATCGATAGAGGGCCATCTTCGCTTTCTCGAATTCGCACAGAAAAATGGTAACAGCTGTTCGTTCGACAATGGGCTATAAACGCGGCGAAATTTCACTTGCGCAACTAAGGAACGTGTCGTGGCGTACGAACAATCTAACCACTGTCCCCGTGATTTATAACGTTCCCACTCGATGAATAGGGCCTTAATCAACTCTCCTGCCGCGATTAATTATTATTCGTAACAGACGCGCGCAAATCTAGTCGACCACGAACACTGCTCGATAAGCATTTCAAGGTATATAACGCTCCAACCAATTATTCATTCCTCGTGCGACCTTGTTTTAAACCTTATTTCCAACTTTAAACTTTTTCACGTTTCCTTTCCTTTTCCTTTTACAACGAATTTGCGTGTAATTATTTATTTACTGCTCGTTTCATTTGCCACGAATTTCGTTTTACGAAAAATTGTAACTGGATGCCACAATTTCCGAAAACGAATTTATCTTACACGCGATTAATCGCGAGAGAAAAATAAATGTTTAAAACAAATTGGCTCGAGATAGAGGCGCTGCGATGCAACGGGGATTACTCGGTATAATCTCGCTCATCTTGGCGAGAGTTCGTCGGAACTCGGATTAAGGGCGGTAATTGCGAAACATAATATGAAAGTAAACCGAAAGTATTCCGGGTACACGAATTTCGCTTCGCTATTTTATTCCTATATTTTATTACTCTTTTATCCCGACACTGGGCCGCCCGTAATTAAAATTAATTCGCCCGGCCCGTGGAAAAAAACCTTCGAATATAATTCCGGATGTCGGGGGGAACCGCGTAAAAAGAAAAAAAAAAAAAATAAAATCTCTTAATCTCATCCTCGCGATGTACTCGTTTTTCCATCGTAAACGAACGGAATATTGCATGGAATTTTCTTTTTCTGTTATTCGATTATTATCGCGATAGCGATTTTTTTTTCTAACGAATCGAACAGGATGATTCATAAATTTGTGTCTATAGACTTGAACAGGCGAATCTATATTTTAAGAGTTTCTGAATCTCTACGAGTGATTTCATCTCGTCGAGTATGGATGACTGATTATTTTGATCGATATAATGATATACGTGACAAACCGTGAATTTCAAAAAATAATAATACGACGATGATATTCGTTTTTTCCAAGTGTGGGCATGTATTTATGAATCATTTTACCACAAAAAAATTACCCCAAGAAGAACCAAATTAATTTCGCATTCGTGCGTAAATTTAACTCAAATTAAATAGCAATCGTGGACGTGAAGTAATAATCGCGAATAATCATCGCGAAAAAATGAGGGTCCTTTTAAAACAGGATCCATAGGTGGAACTTGATATAAACGCTGTTGGACGCCTCTAAACATGCCGAAATTAAATTTTTCGTCCCACCACCCTCTTAATTAAGAGCCACCCTCGTTATTGGCATCAAACGAAATTGCGCGTTCTTTGTCAGTGAGAGAAAGGGAGGATGATATCTCGGCCTAATGCGTTCCCCCTCCTAATTTCTTCATCCTTGCGCCAATAAATGAAATAATAAAATTTCCAAGTAAACGCGATTCTCCTTCGCCCCTCCTCCTTTAAGTTTACGCGGGATGGTTGATTAATCGTATGTAAATGAGCCACGGTCACAGAGGAACAAGTTCAATACGTGTAACGCAGACTACCTCAAAGGTCGAAAAAACGAGCATCGAAAGGGTATTTAATCACACTTTCAACCGTATCTAAAGCTGTTTTTCCGCATTACCTAACGCGAATATCAATGGCGTAAAGAAGTGACGACTACACTTGTTGTGAATCGTTTCTAGGCGGCTGGATCGCAGCATCTATCAAGCGTTATATTACGAGGAAGGCGAATACTGTTTGGATTCTAAATTATTGCATTAGACTACCAGTTTCAATCGTCTATCGTAGAATTATAAAATTTTCTTTCCCCCTGTTTCGTTCCTTTAAAAATCAAACTTCTTAGAATGAAGAGGGCTATTTCAAACAATCAAATTCCAATCCTTCGCGAAATTTTACACGTTTCATACACCTTCGCCATAAATTGCAATCCTTACACCGGTTCGAATGTTAATGCAACGGTGTTGAACCGATCAGCTCGGCCGATTGAAACGCGAGAGAAGACTGGTGGTAGGACGGAACGAATTCGCGAATACGGTTTTATTTTCGGGCCAGAATTGGCCCTAAACGGCGTGAAACGAACGAGCGGGCGCGGACAAAGGGTTGAGTGGTTAGAATTACCGACGACGAAAACGCGACACGCCGCGAAACGTCGTTAATTTGGGAATAATCGTCGCGTATCGACGCACCGGCCTGTCGCTCGCTCCAATTTAATATGGAAATCCCTCTACACCCTCTATCGAGAAAATCAATTACGTCTAATGAATACAACATGAAGGGTTAAAGGGTTCGACAGGAATCTGCGCCAACTTTTCCGAGAGACGCTCGAGAAAATAAGGGGTGGAAATTTCGAATCCGCGATTCCGACATCATTCGATTAAACGTGACTACTTTGCCAATGAGCACACTTTTGGAACTTGGACACTTCAAGTAATGGCTGATTAAATGGAGTTTCGATGCGATTTTTAGCCTTTAAATCGCGCGGAAAACCCTCCATTTCGAATTGAAAATTCCTCTACGAATTCCCTTACTTCTTCAAGAAACCATCGATTGAATCCTAAAGTTACTTGTGAACGCTTGTGACGCGAGTATTGTCTATGGATATTCTTCCAAAAATAAAAACGCGAAAAAGCTTTTCGATATTTTTGCGCTCGATACGAATGTTGCCATTAGCATGCGCAACCGTTTTGGATTACGTTACGTTTCCACGATTGTTTTTTTTTTTTTTTGTTAGTCAAAAGTCAATATCCAACACGCGAAACTCTTTTCGACTTTTGACGCGAATGAAAATCGTAAACGAGAGAGAGAAAAAAATATATATGAAAAGACAGTTTATATTTCTACGTGAAAATTTTTCATCAAAAGTGTAGGAATCAAAGGGTAGAAAAGAAAAATTGGAAATTTAATGAACATGCCAACGTGCATAACGCAACGTAATATTTATAATTATCGCGCGTTGTCACTCGGGAAAATAAATAAGGACGGGAAATATTTCAATTGAACGGTTAACGAGCTACGAGTTATTTCATTATAGTTACGTCTAATGAATACAACATGAAGGGTTTAAGGGTTTGAGTCGGGACAAAAATCAGCGTACATTTCAACCCCGTGGAAAACGCGGTTAACCGAATTCACGGTCGAGTGGGTCGAAGAAATACGATTTGTCAAACGGCGTCCCCATTAAAGAAACGTCGACACGACGCGTCAATTAAAGATTGCAACTACACGGTTCAACCCTTTCATCGCGCGTAACAGACTTTAAAAGTTTAAAACGAATTATTGGAATTACAACAAAGGTAATATTGTTATCGCGTATCTGCATATTTTAACCTAACCTAATTACTTTCACGATATCTAAATATATAACCTCCTCTCCTAGATTTGCATAATTCAGATTCAATAAATAATTCTTCTTGTATCTAATAATATTCTAAATATACTGAAATTTTATCCAAAAACTATCGATCTTAAAATTTCTGTGACTACACGAAAAAAAAAAAACGAGCTTAACAATCTAATTAATCACGTTTGAATCACGAATAAAATTCTACTTCTATTTCCCCAACTCCCCAATTATACCAAAAAAAAAAAAAAAGAAAAAAAAACGTAAGTGAAAAATCGAAGAACGATAAAAAAAAGTATCTCCGAAGAAACGTTCTTCACGTTTCTCAAAACTCTTGAAATATTCGTCCTCGAATAAGCGAAGCGACAAAAGTCCCTCAAACAATCCTCCATTTATTTCGAGCTGGGGATTTAACACGTTACACGCGCGGAACCGAACCCGAACCGTAGCTCGACCGGTTTCTATTTATCCAACCGAGGTTCTCCCGTCTTTCTTTCGTTTGTCCAAAAAAAAAAAAAAAGAGAGAAAGAAAAAAGGTTAAATACAGTGGTGGCTTTACCAACTACGAGCCCGCTCTCCCTGTAATTCACTCGAGCACAAGCCGAGTCGTGTAAATACTCGGTTCTAAGCAAACAGGTGAGCGTGCAAGTTGAACGACCGACGGGGAGGGGAAAAAAAGAAACGAAGAGAGGAATCGAATCGACTTACCTTCGCTGGGTCAGACTTCTCGGGCTCGTCGTTGAACGTCTGCGAGCCACGGGACATGGTGTTCCTACGGGGTGTCGTGGTGCCATCCTGCGAGGGGCGGACGAACTCGATTCTGCCACCCTCGACCACGATGTTAGGGGCGGGTGGAAAATTCTCTGCGTTACCGAGCGGGTCGCAGTAGCCCAGGAGCCCGGCTTTCTCCCCGTAAAGGGGGTGAATTTGTCTGCAACAGTCGGTAAGGATGCATTATCGTCACGAGGGTTGGAATTACAGATGGAGTCTCGTGTCTCGAATCGAGGGGAAATTTTTTTCTTCTGAAGGGTTTACAGAAGTTTTTTATTTAATTTTATATACACAATTGAAAATGTAAAGGATTCATATTTATCGATGATACTTTCTAATAATTTCGAGCAGAAGGCTTTTAAAAAATTGAAAGGATTGATGAATCGTTTTAACGCGATGAATCGTCGAGTGACCGAGCAAGCAATTCGAACGAGATATTGTAAATTTTGCAGGGAGGAGGAGGGGGGGGAGGGGGATGTGTAATAATTTCGTGGCGATCTCGAATTCATTACGCGCCGCTTCAACGAGGTGAAAAGCAACGGTTCAATCGGGACGTTTATCGATGAAACGCGAAGCAATGAAATTAAAAAGTGACTCGGGTTTAATCGGTTCGTCAACGATGAATTCTTTTCCATTATATTTCCCGATCAAATTTTCACCATTTAATATCTCCCCTGGCCTATTCTCGTGGAAGACTACAAACGAGTCGTGAAAAGAATATTTGAACATTTGATATTTAAGTCAGAAAATTTAATAAAATAAATTTATGCCCAAGTTTGAAACTTATTGAAATTCATTCGCGAAATGAAAATGAAACGAATCGTTCGTTTTGGAATCTCTAATAGAAATTGGAGAATATTTATCCAACCGATTCAATACACGTTCTGTTCGCCAAGTTAAAACGTGAAGAATATAGAAAACAATAAAAATAGTATTAAATATTGACATTAAATATTAATTAAATTAAATAAGTACTTTACAAATTATGCATGAATAAAATTATTGAATCTAATTTCAACCAGTCTATCTAAATCGTTATATCCTACGTATCTCCTATTTCAACTACCCTATTACATTTACCAAAAAAAAAAAAAAAGAAGAAAAATCCAACGATATCCGAAACTTTGCGTACAGACACGTGTTTAAATTAATTAATAAAAACGACGTTAAAAAATATGGTGGCCATAGAACTTCCATTGCACATCGCTGGAAGGGTTTCTTGATGCGGTCGCGACGGATTAAAACCACCGTGTTGGCTGGCCGATGAGGTAAAAACGAAAGGGAGGAAAATTACGTTATAGCGCTAGTTGAATTTTCACGGCAGACGCTCCCGGCACGCCATCATCAAGACAAAAAAAAGAAAAAAGGGGGCGATGCGTACGCGATTCCAACTTTTTCCAACCCTTTTGTAACGCGAGACCAACGCGTGCAAAAATGTTTCGCGACGTCACCTCGCACGATATACGCTGCTGAATTAACGCGTAATACCTTTTTCTTGCGAGCCAATGTGTTCCATTAACAACGCGTTTCGTAATATTTTTTAACCGGTTTTTGTGCTCGCGTGTCAATGAACTCGTTTATTCCCGCCGTTTGTCTCGTGGAATGGCGTAAGAGTGTTAACATTATTGCGAATCATAGAGATGATTGGTTGGAGAAATGATACTCGTTCGATTTGAAAAATTTTTCTACGGAGATTACGTACGATCTTTGTCGAGAAGAATAATGATTGATATAAAAATCAGAATGAATTTAATGGAAATAATAAAATTGAGAGAGTGACGGTATTATTTAATTTCAAATGGTATAAAAGATTTTTCTTATTTACGATGAGTGGAACATATTTAAAAAAGTTTGATCAAAAAGACTGGGAAACTACGAAAATTAAATTTATCAGATTGTATTGTTTCGTAACGGGTTAATTAAGATTATCGAAGTTAAGTCATATTTTTAATCAGGTAAAGTGTGCCACTTCGTGCACTTCTCGTATCGAGGTCAAGCGAGGCCCTGCCCTAAGAGTTACGTAACTGATACTTCACGGTATTGACACGGTTGGACAAAAGTTTGAAGTTGTGAATATTTAACGAGTCATCAAATAAAGTGTGTATTTTTATTGTTTTCTTGTTCAGAGTCGAGTCCATTCTGCACACTTTTCTCTTTTTTTCTTCAATATAAACAACTATCTATTATGTGAATACTAATTATCCAGATTACTTTACAACGTATATAAAAATAATTATAATAAATTCGTACTTTTCCTAAAATATCGAATAACCTTCTTGAGAATTAGAATTCAACTATTCAACTACGAAATATTCTGATATCACTTAACGCATTAAGAGCCTTTTATACGGAGCGGATTTCAATGTAAAAAGAGGTTGTTAGGCAATCGGAAAAGTGGCCAACTTAACCGAACAACTTAAACGCTGACAAAGCCATTTCGTTGATTATTCGTTCAAGCTAGATACGACCGATTATGCGAAGAGTGCATTTACGTATCAACGACAGTAATCTCGCGAGAGTTCAGCTTTGATGGAATTACAAAGTGTTCCTCCATTAATGGAGCATCGATTTTCACGTGCTTATCGATTGCTTTTGTATAGAAATTTATGTCTGATCGAGGCGTTCTATCAATCTCGATAATAATAATAATTGACAAGTTGCTATCCTAACGTCATAGCTTTGATATTAGTTAAAATATAACGCCGATCGATATTTACCGTTATATTTTTCAAGAAGAATAAATTCAATTTATCGAATTTCACGTTTTTTAAATAATTTTTTAATGGAATGATGAGATTAATAATTATGCAATTCTAAAAAAAAAAACAGATCAGACTGTGGTTCAACGTAATACGATTAAATTGTAATTTTGTGGAGGAAAGAGCACGAAATTCGACTTATTCTTCGACAATTGTGATTCATATTTTAGAGAGAGAAAACCAATTCACTATGCAAGTCCAAATTATTTCGATAAAAAAAAAAAATAAATGAATGAAATAATCCAAAAGATAGCGAAAATTGTCTAAACTCTTCAACTAAACTATATGACATTTGACGAAATTATTTTACAATTGACCTACTTCCATAAGAATTAACGAACGCAAATAGCACGATAAGATATGCGAACAATGTAACCACGTGAAACGATCTCATAAAAATTTCGAAGAGAATTTCGAAAGTTCTACTTGTGCACGTATAATTTCCGTATAAATTCGTATATAAAATATGGTTGTATTATCGATCAAAATATAATGCAAAATATCTATCATATTTCTAAATATCTATCATCTAATATCTAATTTTTTATAAAAGAAAGTGTTCATCTAAAAAAAAAAAATTTATGAATTTTTCTAAATAATTCAATTTCTCAAATAAATTCCTAAATTTGTTAATAATCCTAATTATATTTTCAAAACAAATTCTTATTTATTCTTCCTTTTTTTTTTTTTAGAAATAAGATATTGAAAAAATTAGAAAAATATTTTAATTGGACGATGGAACGAGTTGCTCACTAATTATAAGAGTATCCTCTTTACAATCTTGTCTTTTTCACATTTTTCATCGTGGAATTTTCCTTTTCTTCTTTTTTTACTCTCCTTTTTCCCCCGCCTCCCCCTCTCATGCTCATTGACAAAGTGAAACACACACCAGTGAGAAAAAAAAAAAGAAAAAACGAAAAGGGCGAGAAAACAAAGGAAAGCTATACGGATACTCGATGGTAAGTGGTTTAGATGGGGTTGAATCTCTTTCTTTCTCTCTCTCACTTTCATCAGGTGGCGAACAAGTGTTCACTCTGGGGGTTCGATTCTGTCCTAGAGCCAAGGGCTTGAAATATCACGTGTCGATGAGAAAATAAAATAGCATAGTTTCAATGTGTACAACGAATGGTTTATTGTGTTGGCAGGCTTATTGAACACGTCAAGCCTTTGTCAAGGGGTGAATCTCCCGATGGATACGGGGATGAAACGAGCGGTGCACATTAAAAATAGAATTTCCCGAGCATATCCCAGAAACTACGCTTTACTAACAATTCGAATATATGGATACGATAAAATTATATAACCAAAAAGAACCCGGTTTTTGATTAATTAAATTAATACGATTATAAAATTTCTATGTTCGATATAATGAAAGTATTCGATTGAATTTTATACATTCGGTGGAATTATGATGTATAATATTAACATATGATGATACATAAGTTGAATACATAATGAATTAATGTGAAAAATTCTATGATTAATATCGCAATCTAAATCATGCTCTTTGAAAATTATCATGCACAATTAGGCATAAAATATTTAATTACATAATACATGTAAGACAGACCACATAACATTATTTAACAATAATATTAAAAATTGTAATAGAAAGAAAAAAAGAAAATCAAATATCTTAACGCTAAAAATGCTTTATAAATAGTAAAATTTATGATAAAAAATATTTTAATCGATTCATTTAAAAGAGAATAATTTAATTGATCATATTACTTATGATCCATCTTGCGTATCCTGGAATATCATCTCGATTTATACGCATTACAGCATCCTTATAATATAGGACGAAGCCTTTCAAGAAGATGAACAGTCTCGACCGTGAGAAACAAAGTCTCTTTCGACTATACCCGACCGAGTTTTCCAATTAACTCGTGTTTATTACTCGAGAAATCGGAGTCGAGGTTTTTCATTCGCTCCCAAAGGGCGAGAAAAGGTTATAACCACAAAGTAGCTTACCTGGGTGATGGTATGGGGCGAGGCTTATCAAGTGCCAGATCCGAGCTCAAAGGCGAATCAGGACCGCGGACGCTGGAAGCCCTGGACAAAAATAATTATTGTTAGTTGGATTGTCATTTGGAATAATATATAAAAAGCGATATATTTCAAGTTTGTATTTATAATCCTCAATAATCAATGAATATTATGTATGCTACGTTCCACAGGATATTCAAAACCAACTACTATATCTGTATTAACATACATGTATAAAGCATATACAAAAAATTTTAAAATAAATTTTAAAATAACTTGATAAATAAGAAAAATCTACACAATCAGACAATTACATATTTACAATGTACTGATTTATAAAAAATAGCGTTCCTTATTGTAAAAGACATAATTCTAACCTACTATGTTACTAATGTTACTATACCTTTGAACAATACACAAATTTTCTGAATAATCTTATGACAATTTTCTTATTATTTATTTAATCAGATGATCAATATATAACATGCCTAATAAACTATTAATAGAATTATAAATGTGAAAAATGTGAATTCTAACCTTCATTTAACTGCATATACTATATATCATATCGTCATATTGTTTTTATGTATTTCGCAACAATTACTTCATTACGAATACGACGAAGTCAAAAATTTATTACACAATGCATTCCTAATACACTAAGTAACTTATTTACGCAAAAAAAGCAAAAATTTTTCACAACTGACATATTACTGTAACTTCCACCATATTGAAACTATTTTATACGCATTAGATCGACGCATGCCTACAACCACGAAAATGGGCGCCAAAATTACGCATTACGCAAGCGCACTAAAATTTTTGCATGTGCGCAAGCGCCCTAAAACTGTACACTTACCATACGTATATTTCGAAAGATTTATAGATCGATATCGTAATTAATGATTACTTATAATTGAAAAATTATATGTTAAAAAATATTATAAAAAGAAATTTCGATTCTTAAAATCAATACCATAGAATAATCCTGTATAAAAAAAAATCGATTAATACAATCGATTTATACGAATACGAAGTGTCATTCGAATCTACATTCCGAAAAAATACTAGATGAAATTATATAATTAATACAATTTTTAACGTTAGTGATAATTACATGATAAAATAACAATTGATACTTCATAATATATCGTGCAAAGAAATATCAATCAACTTACGAATGAAATGCCTGCCTAATGTACAATGTCTTCGAACGCTATAGGAGATCTTTGTCAATTTTACGATAATTTTCTCATTACCGATTTTCTAACGACCGAATAATTAATATGCAACGCCTAATAAAATATAAGTCGATTTATGAATATGGAAAATGCAACACTAACCTTCAATGTCTATTCCCACGACGTGCGAAATTTTATTATTTTCACGTATTACGCAATAATTATACCGTTATCGGATTTCACGGGATCCATACACGATGTCTAATTAATATATTAATTAATCTACGTACACGAAAGAACAATAATTTCTTCACGACAAACACTTCACTCTCACTTCCGCCATATTGAAACTACTTTATACGAAATAGATGGACGCATGCGTATAACCGCGAAATTGGGCGCCAAATTTACGCACTACGCAAGCGCATTATAATTTTTACATTTGCGCAAGCGTGCTAAAATTCTATGGTCACCTACCATACGTATATTTCGAAAGATTTATAGATCGATATCGTAATTAATGACTACTTATAATTGAAAAATTATTTCTTAAAAATATTATAAAAAGTAATTTCGATTCCTGAAATCAATACCATAGAATAATCCTGTATAAAAAAAATCGATTAATACAATCGATTTATACGAATACGAAGTGTCATTCGAATCTACATTCCGAAAAAATACTAGACGAAATTATATAATTAATACAATTTTTAACGTTAGTGATAATTACATGATAAAATAACGATTGATACTTCATAATATATCGTGCAAAGAAATATCAATCAACTTACGAATGAAATGCCTGCCTAATGTACAATGTCTTCGAACGCTATAGGAGATCTTTGTCAATTTTACGATAATTTTCTCATTACCGATTTTCTAACGACCGAATAATTAATATGCAACGCCTAACAAAATATAAGTCGATTTATGAATATGGAAAATGCAACACTAACCTTCAATGTCTATTCCCACGATGTGCGAAATTTTATTATTTTCACGTATTACGCAATAATTATACCGTTATCGGATTTCACGGGATCCATACACGATGTCTAATTAATATATTAATTAATCTACGTACACGAAAGAACAATAATTTCTTCACGACAAACACTTCACTCTCACTTCCGCCATATTGAAACTACTTTATACGAATTAGATGAACGCATGCGTATAACCGCGAAATTGGGCGCCAAATTTACGCACTACGCAAGCGCACTATAATTTTTACATTTGCGCAAGCGTGCTAGAATTCTATGTTCACCTACCATACGTATATTTCGAAAGATTTATAGATCGATATCGTAATTAATGACTACTTATAATTGAAAAATTATTTCTTAAAAAATATTATAAAAAGTAATTTCGATTCCTGAAATCAATACCATAGAATAATCCCGCATAAAAAAAAATACGATTAATACAATCGATTTATACGAATACGAAGTGTCATTCGAATCTACATTCCGAAAAAATACTAGACGAAATTATACAATTAATACAATTTTTAACGTTAATGATAATTACACGATAAAATAACGATTGATACATAATAATATATCGTGCAAAGAAATATCAATCAACTTACGAATGAAATGCCTGCCTAATGTACAATGTCTTCGAACGCTATAGGAGATCTTTGTGAATTTTACGATAATTTTCTCATTACCGATTTTCTAACGACGGAATAATTAATATGCAACGCCTAACAAAATATAAGTCGATTTATGAATATGGAAAATGCAACACTAACCTTCAATGTCTATTCCCACGACGTGCGAAATTTTATTATTTTCACGTATTACGCAATAATTATACCGTTATCGGATTTCACGGGATCCATACACGATGTCTAATTAATATATTAATTAATCTACGTACACGAAAGAACAATAATTTCTTCACGACAAACACTTCACTCTCACCGCGAAATTAGGCGCCAAAATTACGCATTACGCAAGCGCATTATAATTTTTACATTTGCGCAAGCGTGCTAAAATTCTATGGTCACCTACCATACGTATATTTCGAAAGATTTATAGATCGATATCGTAATTAATGACTATTTATAATTGAAAAATTATTTCTTAAAAAATATTATAAAAAGAAATTTCGACTCCTGAAATTAATACCATAGAATAATCCTGCATAAAAAAAAATCGATTAATACAATCGATTTATACGAATACGAAGTGTCATTCGAATCTACATTCCGAAAAAATACTAGACGAAATTATATAATTAATACAATTTTTAACGTTAGTGATAATTACACGATAAAATAACGATTGATACATAATAATATATCGTGCAATGAAATATCAATCAACTTACGAATGAAATGCCTGCCTAATGTACAATGTCTTCGAACGCTATAGGAGATCTTTGTGAATTTTACGATAATTTTCTCATTACCGATTTTCTAACGACCGAATAATTAATATGCAACGCCTAACAAAATATAAGTCGATTTATGAATATGGAAAATGCAACACTAACCTTCAATGTCTATTCCCACGACGTGCGAAATTTTATTATTTTCACGTATTACGCAATAATTATACCGTTATCGGATTTCACGGGATCCATACACGATGTCTAATTAATATATTAATTATTCTACGTACACAAAAGATCTATAGTTTTTTCACGACAACCACTTCACTCTCACTTCCGCCATATTGAAACTACTTTATACGAAATAGATGGACGCATGCGTATAACCGCGAAATTGGGCGCCAAATTTACGCATTACGTAAGCGCACTATAATTTTTACATTTGCGCAAGCGTGCTAAAATGCTATGTTCACCTACGCAAACGTGTATTTCGGAAGATTTATAAATCGATATCGTAATTAATGACTACTTATAATTGAAAAATTATTTCTTAAAAAATATTATAAAAAGTAATTTCGATTCCTGAAATCAATACCAAAGAATAATCCTATATGAAAAACGATTAATCGATTTATACGATAAATACGAAAAATGTCATTCGAATCTACATTCCAAAAAAATGCCAAACGAAATAATATAATTTTAAAATTAATATAATTTTTAACGTTACAAGTAATTACACAACAAAATAACGATTTATACGATATGATATATGTTGCAAAGAAATATTAATCAAGTTACGAAAGAAGAACATCTATCTAATATACAATATGTATGAACATCGAAATTTCCGTTAATCTTACGACAAATTTTTCATTACCGATTTTAATAGAAACGAATAATTAATACATCGATGCTTCACAAAGTATAAATCGATTTATGAATATGGAAAATGCAATACTAATCTACAATGTCTATTCGCGGTACATACGAAATTTTGTTATTTTCACGTATTACGCAATAACTGTATCATTATCGAATTCTACGACATCAAATTATCCATACACGATATATTATTAATGTATCAATATATTGATTAACTTACGTACCCGAAGTACAATTTTTCTACGATTGTCATTTCACTGTCACTTCCATCACTTTGAAACTATTTTATACACATTAGATTAATGTATACTGAGAATTTATAATTGAAAAAATTATTTGTTAGAAAATATTAATAATATTCATAATTATAAGAATCAACATCTATAGAAAAAGATTTTGATTTTTATAGTTATGAATATTATAGAAAAATTCTGTATAATATACGTAAGAAAGCATTAATTTATCTATATATAAAGATACAATATATCTGAAATTTGAAACTGCAATATGTAAAAAATACTATACGAAATTTCAAAATAATTGTAATTGTTTTTCATTATCGAATATTAAACGATCAAACAATTATGTATACAATTTTGCAAAGTATTAATCAATGTAAGATTAGAAAACATTATTCTAACCTACAATGTCTAAGAATGCAGACAGGAGTTAAGAATAATGTTATGATAATTTTATCGTCATTTTCATACAATTGAATATCACAAAATATAAATCGATTTGGGAATATGAAAAATATAGTATTATCCTACAATATATCTATATCTTGTACGAAATTTTCACGTTACTTCTATATATTATGCAATAACTATACCGTTACCTAATTTCACGGGATCTAATAAAATTATATACAATATTATTAATATATCTATGTATATTAATGATATATATATATATATAATACATTAATAATTATGTATATGAAAGAAGCACAATACCTACGACCTACTCTAATTTGGCTATTATTTCCGCCATATTGAAACTACTTTATACGCATTAGATTGACGCATGCGTATAACTCCGAAATTAGGCGCCAAAATTCTACATTCGCGCAAGCGCATAAAAATTCTATGTTTACGCGCGTATTTCGAAAGATTTATTTAATCAATGTCGTAAAAAATATTCAGCATTAATAATTGAACAAAATTTTTATTCATTACAGACGATTGTAAAAGAAATTTTGATTCTCATAATTATAAATAGCATGGAACAAACTATATATAATTTGAAACGTAACATTTGTGTAATTTTATGATATTTAAAATTTTCATAAGCTCGCAACTTATTAAATCGTTGCCCGTACTGCTATAATTACGCTATGAAAATAAATTCTCCTGGATCGATCGTAAATTACACGGTATACGGTTTAAATTATTGGAAAATGGGTATCTCCGGTAGACGGGTCAAACGATTATTCTCAGAATAAGCTTCGCAGGATATTCACCCTTCTGTGCCGTGTTACGTATCAACGTACACGTACTCGCATACAGTATAGCGGTTATTCAAATGCAACGAAGCATTTCCTGAGAATCATTCGTGAATTTTTTCTTCTTACAACACGCGCACATAATTTCTTCGCGCAGTTGTGCAACAACATTCGAAAAGCATCTTCCACGCTTTTACGAATTGTATATCTTTTTAAATAATCAAACTACTCGCGTATCGAAGTTAAAATGTAAAATTCATTTTTTCGCGGACCGCACCCTGACAGATCTATTTTCGTTGCTCTTGTCTCTTCGTCGGAGATATAAAGAAGAAAAAAAAAAAAAAAAAAAAACAAAAGTTCGAATTGAATGGCGATTATGCAATAAGCGATTCAATACACGTTTCTCCTTCGTATTACGGTATTTATATTTTCGTTCTCCAATATGATGAGGGCCCGATATCACGAGCCTTTTCGTGAGAACATATCGTAACTCAACTTCTGGCGCCCGGCTGCGTGACATAAATTAATAAGTTCGACGAATAAACGCGACAACCTCGGGTATTTTACGCGCAATCGTAGAATGAATGTCTTTCGTTTCAAGCCGACTACACCCCGGATGCGCAAAAGTAATCGCGTGATCGTATCGATAAATATATTGTAGAAATTTCACGATGTGTTTTAAACTTAACGTTAGGATGTTGCGCAACGATATCGCTTATTCCACCAACCGTTGTCCAACCATGGAACTGATTTGTTCACACGCATGAACAAGTCTAAGACGTTTCCATTCGTAAGTAAGTTCGCGTCGCGTGTCGCATCGTTCGATGTCGTAATCGACGTCCATTCCTCGAATGGAAAAAAAAAAAAGAAAGAAAGAAAAGATGCCCATTCGGGCCATCACGCTTGGCTCCGCACAAGAACTTTCTAACGCTATGATTAATGTTCGGTTTTAAACCGAGAAGTTTAACCCGATTGACTAATAGTCACAGCCATAATTTCGCTATCTCATCCTTAAATTCCCCTGAAACCATAGATATCGATAATTACTTCCCTCCGTTGCGAGAGACCAAATTACCTTTAAACTCTAAAAGCAGTGATTAATCACCGTTTCAACATTGGCCAAACTCTCACTTTTCTCTCCAATCTAACGCTTGAAAATCATGCCCGGTATTTCCATCCTATCTACGAGATCGAATGCACCGCATTGTATCCACTCGCTTGGAAATAGAATATTTCTCCTCTCCCGATTTTGGGACCTTTTATCAAAATTGCATTGTCACGAAGACCAATCTAAAAACCGCGCCAAGCCCTTTCCTATTTTCGATCGACACTTTGCATCACGATGCATCCATTCCACCTCTGTGCACAAATCGAAAAAGACACGAATCGTCGAGCAATTTTCGAATTGATAAGGAACAAACAGCTGATCGGCGATATCGTTAAGATATCATCTTATTAATTCCAATTTCAAATGGATTACACTTGGCATATCCGACGATTGCGACTTCCCTCTTTGTAATTCGCCTTAACAAGACCCATCGGATGAATCCTATCGCAAGAACGAATTCATTTCTCCGTTTTCGAGCCGCTTGGATACTTGTTTCCATGATTAATGCATCCGACGAGAGTAAATATATTTGAGCATAATGAAAGAGAAAGAGGACTATTCCGAGTGGATTTCTAGCCGGTAGAGACGTGCAATTACGAGCCACCGGCTAATTAATAATAATCATCCGTGGATCTCTCTCGGTGATAAAGCCTGTATATTATCGCCGGCTTCTCAACCGAACCAGTCGTTTGTAATTACGTATCTGCGTTTGGAAGTGGCGATCCAGGCGCACGGTTAACACGTATTTATCTCAATTAAAATACCGGCTCGTTCTAAAAACGTCTACGATTGCTTGTACACAGTTACATCCATCATTAATCAATTAAGAAACGAGGGTTGCACACCAGGATGCCCGTAATTAGATCCTCCAGTTTTCGTTCCATTGATTTTTCGCGGGTGATACAAAAGGGAACTTTTCCCTTTGAACGATCGTATCGTTTGTCTCGTAATTATTACTCCCGCGATAACTCTCGTCTTCTCTCTTTCCACTCCCCCCTGCGCGTATCATTTCGCACGAGAAACAAAAAATAGAACGACAAAGATTAATTAATCATTGCGAATTTTAACGCGATGGGTTGAAAAATTGTTTAAAATTGAAAATATCCTGTGTATCATCCGAGAATATTTCATCTATAACTCTCTTCAATTTCAAAAATTTGAGAATTCATTTTTCGTACGACGATAAAAAAAGTAACGAAGTCGTGCTTTTGATTCGAATATTGGATCGATCGATAATGATAAAACACTTGAAATTGAAGGGGAAACAATAATAGCAATAAGCGAGAATATCGAGAAGAACGTAGAAAAAAAAAAGAAAAGAAAAGAAAAGCAATCTTCTTACGCGAAATATAATATATCTCCGCGAAAGAAGAAGATCGGAACGAACTTTCGTTCGTTCGTAATTGGTTAAAAAATCGCGTTTCGAAAGTTTCATCGAATCGTTCTCAGTCGCCACTCGTGCAACATCGAGAGATTCCTCCGTCGAGGATTTTCATTCTCATTCGGGAGATGTACAGTTGAAAAGAAAGGGGGAGAGGGAAAGAAAGAACGAGCTCGATTCACAGTTGCCTCCGTAGATTGGACGTGAATTTTCGCGAAATACCCGTTTCAACGTCAACAGACTTCTAATTAATTTAACAATTTATCTCGAGCCGAGTTTTCACCGTGGAATACACGGGTTCCGTCGCTACGATATGACGGGGCAAACACGTGGTGAAACATGGTGTAATTGTTGCTGGAAATACGAGTGAATTTCAAGAGTTTTATCTCGGACAGAGTAAAGTACAGCTGTTTTTATCGCCGTGCAAACAGAAAGGATTACTATCTTTATTTTCCCGCCTTCGTGATTTTTCGACCGCTTTCGAACGAAAAAAGTACAGGGCTGGAAATATTGCATACATTTTGTAAATAATTATCAGAATAATCAGATCTGACGAAACGGTATCGTTATTTATAAGCGCGAAGAAATAGGAATGGACGAGAGAGATGAGAAGTACAAGGCTGCTCGTTCAATGTTAATCGTCGAAGAGCGATCTGTAACAAGCTGAAATACGATCTACGACGAATCGATTCGATAGATATATCGTTCGAACGTTTTTTAAATATACGCCTCTTAGTCATCGATCGATCGCATTCGTGCGTCGCGAATATATCGCCTCGAGGTATTTGCATTGCGCGAGGGCAGATGTTAGCTTCGCACGAGATACTCTCTGGCATCCGCTCGCAAAATAAATATAACAGCGAATCCAACCAGTCAATAACTTTGATCGCGTATTACGTACGCATCTATTTTTTCCAATTCCTCCATTATCATTTTCACGATCCTTGAAAAATCGGCAGCATGTACGGTGTGCAAATGTGAATGCAATATTGTGTAGACAATGTAAATTTAATCTTGAATAAATAATAATCCAAGTCTGTTTTGATCCCTTTTTCCTCTTTTTCTTTTTTAAGAATCAAATTATCAGATCGATTTCAATCTCTCTGATTCGACGCTTGACGATCGATCTTCTCTTAACGGCAAATATGGAACAATGTGGCGATAACGTTTCCAAGTTTCCTGTCGATTTTAATTAAAAACGATTTCACCGTGATTCACATCTGATCGCGATGGTACGTTGAAAGAGGACATGGAAAGGTAAGCCTGATGAAAATGCTTGAGGCGGTCCGTCAGTAAAAGAATGAACGAGTTCTCGCCCTTTTTTTCACAGTTTCTTCTTCTTCTTTTTTTCCTCCCCAACTTCATCCGTGAATCAATTCCTCGCAATCCGCGAAACTTTCACAATCGTGATTCTAAGGTACAATCGTACCTTTACCCATCCAGAAAAAGAAAGAAAAAACGAGGAAGGCAATCGAACTTTGTTGCTCCTTTATCTTAACTTCATCTCACCTTCTTCTCTGATTTTATTTCGTCGAAATTAAAATTAAAATTATTATTATCCTTACGCTTGGTAAGAATCTTGTTTTAGAAATTACAATTTGACAATAATAAGAAGCATGCTCTTTTCTTTTTTTTTTTTTTTTTTACTTTAAGAATATACTACGATACGAAATATTTTTTGCGACCAAGCAAACTTGAAAAGAAGAGGAAGGAGAGATCCCTTTGTGTACGAATTTGTCGAGAGTTTTCGATATGGCAACGTTTTTATCCCGAGAATTTTCCATCGAGACGAAGCCCCGAGACGTTGAATTCGCACAAAACATCGTGCATTAACAGCAGAGAGAATCCAACGTTCGCGAAAATGTGGTCGATTTAATAAGCCGGCTGTCGAGAATATCCTTCAAAGTTTGTCGACTCGACGCGTTCGAACGAAGCCCGAATCTTACGAATCTCGAGAGATGTTCGAAGAATTTACATCGAGTCACTTGGCAGACTCGAGGATGGTTGAAGAAGTTGGCAAAAGCGTTTAAACGCGTCGAAAGAAGATAACGTACAAACATCGATTCGAGTTATTTATTTTCTCGTAAAATTTCGAGGAATCACGATCCACGTGGATTGGAGAACTTCTTTGGAACGATATGATGATTTATTCGAAGAAATCGATCGATATTGTTATTTGGCGACACAAGTTTCCTGTCGGTTTGCACACGGTTACCGAGTCGAGCGTTCGTTACGAAAACAGGCTTTGTTAAGGGAAGACGTTAATAGAAGAGAATTGCAACATCTGAGGCAACAAGCTTGCACGCGAGTTGACAAGAGAAGTAAACGGAAAGCGAGCCAAGTACTGGATAAATTACATCGTTTCCGTGATTTCCTCCCCCCCGTAATTCGACGCAAACGATCGAGCCACGTAATTACGCAAGACAATATACGATTCTAGTCTGTTTTCGATCTCTGCTGCGAATAACTAACTGCGATTGAAAATTGAACTTCGAATCTTTACAAGACCCGATGGATTTCTTCCATTTTCGATCGGGTCAAAGTTTTAAAAAGGCTTCAAAAAAGGCTTTCTTTTTTTTTTTCAAGAACAATAAGAGAAAAATAAATTTCACAAGTTTGTAATTCCAGGAATAATAATGGCCATCGTCGTCGTTTCACGTTTGCATCTTAAATCATTCGAAGTCGTAGCACACAGTTTCTTAGAGTCAGCAAGTAAGTTTCGAATAGTCTGTCTCAACTATGCTCTCTATCGACCTGGTGTCCACGGAGGTCAAGATTTTACGACTCGTCGTAACCCACAGCTGTTCCCATGGTTACTACACGCTACTAAAATTCGAATTTCATTACTGTGAAATTCCCTCGCAGGGACTTCCCTTCCTATTTCCCGAATTACACCATCTACCATCTCGAAATTTGCATTACCTTCATTTTCAACATTTCCAAAAAACACTCGAACTAACGTTCCACTCTTATCGAGAATAATTTCCACAATTTTCATCGAAAGATCAATTTTTCATCGATTCGTAGCTCGATAAGTTTTTTTTTTTTTCTTCGCCAACAAAAATTCGAACAAAAAAAAATAAATCCTCGAGCTATATTCAGGAACACGTAATCGAGTAACCCAGATTTCCGTCCACCTTTATTATTTATGACGCGACGATTTCACCGAGTTAAACTTTTGTCGGCCGACTGTCAACAATGATAATTCCACACCGTTTCTCTCCGCCCGCTGGCAGAAGCTCGACAGCGACGCAACTTGTGAAGTTGTGGTTGTTTTAGCTCGAGATATTGTGTTACCACGAGACGAGAGCTCTCCGAAGCTGCTAATGCACCACCATCTGACACCGACTTCGTTCGAGAAATATGCGCCGAGGGTGTACCGTTACCGCCTCTCCGATTATGCAACGCAAAATGAATGAAAGGACGCTCCTCTATCCCCTTATTCCCTCATTCTTGATTAAAAATCGTCGTTGATCAACGGAGAGATATTCGACGACCGAGTAA